ATTGAGCGTGAAGCTGTAGTGGAGGAAAGGAGGTGTGTTGGGTTTCTAACTCATGACCTAATTTTGGAGATTCCGCCTTCATGTAGTCAGGCCGTGATGGAGTCGTATCATCCACCCACAGGCCCTCTGTCTCCCTCTTCCTCTCAGCCTCGTAAATACGACACGTTGACGGATTGATTGAGTTCAGGTGTTCCTCCCACGCGCTCCCAGATGCTTTCGCTTCATCTCATCTGGACTTTCCCTCTTCTTGCAGCACAGATTCTTTCAGTCGACATTTGTGTTTCTGTTTCTGTGATGACCCCTCGGCAGCCTGGAAGTAGACTAAAAATACCAGATCGTAGCTAAGGGCGGTCATCACAAAACACAACAAAGCATCATCACTGTGCAGATGTTAGTCAGTGGTCTTCTCAGGCATAAAAAAAAGTCCCAAATCAGCTCCAAAGGTAGATCAGTGCAGCCTGAAGCTGTCGTATTTCTTCCTTTAAACCCGGCCTCACCTCCCAGTTCAACCACCAGCTGATGCTTCGTCAGCCGCTAACCATCTCCTCGCTTTGCTGGTGCATCATACTGGGAACCAGCAGAGGGGAACTGGAGGGCTGTGATGGAAAACAGGAAGCAGCTGGGTCAACATCCTGCCTGGCAGGGAGGGAGGGGTCGGCCCCGACACAGGCCGCCGTTTGTTGAGTGGGTGAACAATGTCCCCCTCTGTGTGCCCGCCAACCAATCGAGACGCTCCTCTCTGGATGGTTTCCAGACAGATGAGATGTTGGCAGCAGCAGTTTGGGCTCATTAAAGGGAGGAAAGAGGAGCAGTCAGGATGCTGTGTGGTGGAAAGTCAGTGGTTTTTAAGCTAAAATGAGGAGATTAACCTCCTAACACCCGAACTCTATCATGGCATGCATTTTTAATTTTTCTTTGCTATTTGGGCTGATTGGGACCTGATGAATGTAAAAACAAAGAATTACCAGATTTTTGCTTGTTGCCTAATTTTTGTTTCTGAGAAAAATGAGATCCACATATGAGGACATTAGTTTTAAATTTCGTTAGAACAGTGGCAGTATAATGTCCTCGTTAGTGGACATCAGGCCCTTGTAGAGAAAAATTAAGTATTTTGGTCTAGACAACCGAAAACGTGCTGTCCACATATGTGGATAAGATAAGATAAGATAAGATAACCTTTATTAGTCCCACACGTGGGAAATTTGTTTTGTCACAGCAGGAAGTGGACAGTGCAAAAGTTATGAGGCAAAAATTAGAATACAATAAGAATAAATACAGTACACAACTGTACAGAATAGAATAAAATACTATATACAGTAGAATAAAATAAAATAAATATACAATAAGATAAAAATAGAATACAAATACAAATACTATATACAACTGAGTAAAAATACAACGATGACAGAAAGGATTATTGCACTTAGTATTATTGCATATGTATGGATGTGTGTGCTTGATCAGTTAGTCTTTATTATGGAGTCTGACAGCAGTGGGGAGGAAAGACCTGCGAAATCTCTCCGTCCCACACCGTGGGTGCCGCAGTCTCCCACTGAAGGAGCTGCTCAGTGCTGTCACAGTCTGCTGCATGGGGTGGGAGATGTTGTCCAACAGGGATGACAGCTTAGCCGCCGTTCTCCTGTCACTCACCACCTCCACTGGGTCCAGAGGGCATCCTAGAACAGAGCTGGCCCTTCGGATCACCCTGTTCAGTCTCTTCCTGTCCCCAGCAGAGATGCTGCCGCCCCCAGCAGACCACACCATAAAAGATAGCAGAAGCCACAACAGAGTCATAGAAGGTCTTCAGGAGTGGGCCCAAACGACCTGAGTCTCCGCAGCAGGTACAGCCTGCTCTGCCCTTTCCTGTAGAGGGCGTCTGAGTTATGAGTCCAGTCCAGTCTATTGTTCAGATGAACACCAAGGTACCTGTAGCTGTCCACAGCCTCAATGTCCATACCTTGGATGTTCAGTGGTTGCAGTGGAGAATGCTTGTGCCTGCGGAAGTCTACCACCAGTTCCTTGGTTTTACTGGCGTTGATCTGGAGGTAGTTCTGCTGGCACCAGTCCACAAAGTCTTGGGTCAGACCTCTGTACTCCTTGTCGTCCCCATCAGTGATGAGGCCGACTATTGCAGAGTCATCAGAGAACTTCTGCAGGAAGCACTGGGTGGAATTGTGGGAGAAGTCTGCAGTGTAGATGGTGAAGAGGAACGGAGCCAGAACCGTTCCCTGTGGGGCCCCCGTACTGCAGACGACCCTGTCCGACACACAGCCCTGAGTCCTCACATACTGTGGTCGGTCGGTGAGGTAGTCCAGGATCCAGGTAGTGAGGTGATGGTCCACTCCAGAGTTCACCAGCTTGTCCTTTAGAACCGAGGGAAGAATGGTGTTGAAGGCACTGGAGAAATCAAAGAACATGATTCTCACAGTGCTTCCAGCGGTCTCCAGGTGAGCGAGGGAACGATGTAGGAGGTGAATGACGGCATCATCCGCTCCAATGCCAGGCTGGTAGGCAAACTGAAGTGGGTCCAGTGATGAGCTTATTAGGCGCCGAAGCTGAGCCAGGACCAACCGCTCCAGGGTCTTCATCAGGTGGGATGTCAGAGCCACCGACCTGTAGCTGTTGAGGTCCTTGGGGCGTGAAGTCTTTGGCACTGGTACAACACAGGAGGTTTTCCAGAGCTGTGGGACTCTTCCCAACCTCAGGCTCAGGTTGAAGAGGTGCTCCATCACCCCACACAGTTGGTCCGCGCAGGACCTGACGACCCTCGAGCTGATGCCATCTGGACCCGCTGCCTTCTTGCCATTAATCCTCCTCAGTTCCCTCCTAACCTGGGTGGTTGAGAGAGACAGGCTGGAGCCTTGTGTTGAGTGTGTATTGGATGCTGCAGTTGGGGGTGGGGGGGGGAGTGAGCAGGGTGAATAGAGGAGGTGTGAAGTGTCTGAGGTGGAACAGCAGCAGTGGGGGTGGGTGAGTCTGCAGCCGATGTTGCAGACTGCCTCATGGCTGAATCAAATCTGTTGAAGAAATGATTCAGTTCATTTGCCCATCTCACATCCCTCCCAGGCAGAGAGTTCTGCTGTTTGTGGCCCAAGATGGTTCTGAGGCCTCTCCAGACTTCACCAACGTTGTTTTGTTGAAGCTGGTTCTCCATCTTCTGCCTGTAGCTCTCCTTCCCATTCCTTATCAGTCCCCTCAGCTCTCTCTGCACCCTTTTCAACTCCTCTTTGTCTCTGGATTTGAAGGCCCTAGGAGGATGCCAGGTGGCCTAGGAGGATGCCAGGTCCTAGGAGGTTAAAATTCAGAATTGAGACAAAAATGTAAAAAAGAAACTACATTAAAACATCAGAAACCAGCTGAATCAAAAGAAAATAAATTTATTGAGATATTTATTAGTTTTCTGTCAGTCGCACACTCTGCACGAAAACTGTCAGTGTGAGTCTCAGGTATCAATGCGTTAGAAAACCAGTGTTTCATGGGGCTTTTAGCACTTCCTGTCAGTACTGTGTAGTCTGAGGGTCTGCAGGCTGACACAGATTGCTGCAGATGAATTAGTAAAGAGGGGCTGGAGGCTCTAAGTGGCTCTGGCCCACTGGCCTACTTAACGGCAAGCCCGAGGTGTCTCAGAGTCCAGCAGTTTTAAAGGAGCCTGCGGTGGGATGACGGCTACAGAAAACATCTGGACGCCTCACGTTTTCTTTTTTATGAAAGGCGTTCATCAGCAGTTACTGAAATACAGCTTCTTTAATGATAAACTCAGAGGTTAAAGGTCGCACATCTCTATGCAGACTGAAGAGATTCCCCATATGTGACCACAGACATGTTAATGTCAAAGTATTGAAATTAAGTTGTATAAATAGAAATATTTTTAGATTGAAATGCCAATTATGACTAAGTTTCAATATAGATGAAATTAAAATGTCCCAATTTTGTGATTTCAATATGAGTTGAAATGTGACTTTAAATATTTTGATTTTATTTGTTGTATCTTATCCAGTAAAGTTTGTTTGAGGCTTTGAAACATTTTCTATTTACTTGATAACAGAACTTAAAGAACTACAGCTCCATATTGAATACTTTAAAGGTGTGTTAGAGTACCTTTACTGTACGGTTTTTAGCTGACTGTAGAAAACAAACAAACCCAGCTCTCTGTAAGAGGCCACATTCTTTCAGTAGGAGGGCCCAGATTTGGTCCACGGGCCTGTGTTTTCTCACTGCTGGTGTTTTGTCCTGTTTGAAGTGTGTGTGTGTTTTTAAAACCACAGAGTGTTTTTGTTAGAGAGCCGTCTCTGCAGTGTGAGTGGAAACGACCTCCCTGATAATACCAACATTATCGCACTCCAATAACACACACACACACACGCACACACGCACACACAGTGCAAGTGTGTGTGTGTGGTTTGACATCATTTGGCCTCCGCCCTCCTCATTTCCCATGACCTCTGACACTCGGCACCTCAGATGGTTGCAGGAGTTAATTTGTGGGGAACCTTTAGAAGAATTTAGAATACAAATATTTTCTCATCTACTGATTTTGTCTTTATTTCCTGATTCTAACATTTGATTGATTGATTCTAAGATTAAAGTGCTTAAAGAACATATAGATTAATGTAAGTTGATCTCCCTCTTAATGGACTTGTACGTTTTTATATAGTGTTATTTTTTGGTTGCTTTTAACCTTTGTATTTTCTCAGCTGTGGTTCTTCATGGTTCTTCTGTACCATGACGGTATTTCTGATCGTGTCCTGTTATCGTGTTCAGTCTGCTGTGACTTTTGGCCTGGTGTTGGTCGTCTGTCAGCTTTAACAAGCCTCTTCTTCCTCTTTGTCACCCTTAACAAGCCTCTTCTTCCTCTTTGTCACCCTTGACACCACTGAGGAGGAGCTGATTGGCTGCCTCGTTACTCCATCAGGCATTTTTAATTCCATTTTTTCCCTGAAGGCATCACATGTTCCTCACAGTTTAATAATGTGTGTTTTTCCTTTCTTTGTGTCTTCCAGATGCGTTTGTAAACAGTCAGGAGTGGACGCTGAGTCGGACGGTGCCCGAGCTCAAAGTGGTGAGTTCAGAGCGTTAAAGGGGAGGGGGTCACCTGTCCAAGAGTCAAGCTTCAGCGGGATGGCATACCACTATGGAGATCATTTCCTGCCAAAACTTAACAAAAATCCCAACAAACAAACAACAAACAGAAACATTAAAGAGATTTATTTTTTAAATGTCGAGATTGGCTGCTGTTCAGGGGAGCAACTCAATGTAAAGGTGCTCTAAGTATTTTATTTTGAAGATTTAGTTACTTCTAAAAACCCAACCTGGACTTCTGTCTCACGATTCCTGACTTGCAGGCTTTAGGACACTACAAGAAGTGAATACACGAAGATAACCAAACAGATGTACAATTTTGATCATTTTAACTTTGAAGATTAAATAAAATAAAATAAAATAAATGATAGATGTTAAAATTGTGAGATTAAAATTTCATAAGTTAAATGTTTTGAGATAAAAGTTTAAAAACATGTTGAAAATGTAATTCAAAAGTAAAAATGATTAGATGAGATTAACTATGAGGTCATGTCAAAATTATGAAAGTAAAATGTCAAAGTTGTGAGATTATAACATCAAAATTAAAACAATACATCACAACCATGAGAAGCAAACTTTAAAAGCAAAATGTTAAAATAAAGTCAAATATTTACGTTAAGTATAAAAACTATAAGACCAAAATATTAAGCTCAGAGATAAAAGTAAAATATTACATTTTATGTCTAAAATGTCAAAATTATGATATAACTTGGGGACTAAAAAAAAAAGCTTTTATAGCACAATATTAAAATTTCGAGATAAAAGTTAAATATTCACATAATGTATAAATATTTTAAAAGTAAAATATCAATATTTTCATTTAACTAAAATTTAAGTTGAGATTATTATGGGCCTAACAAATAAAAAATTGCGAGTAACTATGATTCATATTTCATTTCTGCTGAAGCATTTGTTTGTCCACTCACAGAAGCAGTAACAGCTCCATGTGCTTGAATTATATCATCTTCACCAGCAACACTAGAAAACTTTTAAAACCAGTATGAGTTCCTGTTGATGGAGTGATTACAGTCTGCTGAATGTTTTAGGAGATGCTAACTTCCCTTCTGTCTCCCCCTCAGGGCATTGTGGGTAATCTGGCCAGTGGTAAGTCAGCGCTGGTCCACAGATACCTGACGGGAACGTATGTCCAGGAGGAGTCACCAGAGGGTAAGAACATCATAGCATGTCTGTCTTTGTTTGGCTGGACCAGCTATTTCTTCTTCTTCTTCTTCTTCTTCTTCTAATAAAATGGCAGAGCAGTCGTCCGCCTTCTCAGACTGAATCAGTCTAAAACACAGAGGAGAAAATAATGAGCGGATTAAACGTCATTTAACGACCTCCTTACAGCACAAGTCTAACCAGCAGAGCGAAAAAAGCTCCTCAGTCAGGCTCAGAAGCTTTCCAAGTCGCATTAAAAAGAGATTTCACTCCACTTTTGGGAGAAAGCTGAAGTGGTTTTTTTTGGGTTCAAATAAACATTTGTAGAGTTTGAGATGGAGCTGAATCACCGCAGGAGGCTTTAAATGATCAGATCTGCTGGTTTAATGCCGATCTGTCAGCCTGTTAGAGGGAAAATATATCAATATAAGCAATGAGTGACTGAAAATGAATACTGAGTGAGATGAAAACAGCAGAAAGTGACATTAAAAAGTCAAACTTTTATTAGATATTTGTTCTGCTTACTGAAAAACCAACAAATTTGACCTCTTTGGGGTGTGAGCGTGGATTTAAAAAGTGAAGAAGAAGTGATTTAAGCATAACATCGCGCTCAGTTGCTTAATATCTGAGAAACAGTGAACACCCAAAAGGTTAAACTTCTCTGCTGGCTGACCCAGAATCACTTATGAAACTTTAAAGATGACTTTTTGTCTCAGAGAAAAGATGAAGCCCTACTTTCCTCCGGTGTCTCAACTCACACGCCCTGCAGGGACGGCCATATTCCTCATGTAATATTAAAGCTGCCCACACACACACTGTTACTGTACAGGACGGCAGGGTCCTCAGGCACAGACCCACTTTACGAAACCCGCTTTAATATTTCAGCACATGAGCTGTTTCCTCTCAGGGATCCTGCACGCACAGCCAAGGCACTTTCTGCTCACTTTCCTTTATCAATCACACCGACAGACGCTGCAGCGCTTTTACTTTTCATTCATTCATCCTTCTACTGTCCAGAGAGGTGGTGCACCGAACTCACAGTTCAAACCACTGGTGAGGAGCTTTAAGCTCGAGTTGTTTAGTTGAAGCAAAAAAGCTTCTTTATTCCCTCAGAAAAAAACAACAAAAAAACTGCATCTTTCTGATAACTAACAGGGGCGATACCTCTGCCTGTATAAAGAAATCAATGGCATGTATGGAGGACCAAACTTGCCAAAATAAGCAAGCCAATAACACAAATTATGCCATTAAATGCACCTATAAAAATATTAAAAATGATTGCCGTCTTTCACATGAGACATAAATGGTTTTTTTTCTTATGTATTATTTTTTTCTGTTTTCCTTTTTTTTTAAATTTATCTGTCTTTATTTATACATAAGTACGTCATTACGTTTAGAACTTTTAAATTCATCTTGCAGCTGCTTTTATGTTTACTCATCTTTATATTTATTTTGCAAGTTATTTATTTTTATCATCAGTGTTTTTTATTTCTTTTTTAATTTTGGCAGTTTTGGTCCTTCGTGCATAACTAAAAATATATATTTATGAAGCCTGACACCAAGTTTTTAAAAAGTTTTTAAAAGAGCTAAAAGAAGAATATGCAAAGGATGAAAATCCAATAGTTAAATCAAAATCAAAAGTTTATAACAGCTTCAAATCAAGTCTGAAAACAGTCTAAAACTAGTAAATATATAAATTAAAGTCCAAAATAAACTCTAAATAACCCAGACCAGGTCCATAAAGTCCCCAAACAAACACAAAAGAATTTAAAACAAGATCTTTTATTGTTTAATTTCTTCTTTGTTGCTTTTACTTACCATGATTGCCTGAACGTTTTATTGTTGTAAATGTTTTTTGGGTTTTTTTGTTCTTAATCTTTTCACTGTACATTTTAGTCCAAAACCATTTTCCAAAATTAACAAAAAATGGCAAAAATCAGGTCAGAACCACAATCCAAACACAAGTCTACAATTAGGCCCAAATTCGTTGACATCAATTTGTATATCAAATATCAATATCAAATTACTCTAAAAACGTCTAAAATGATGACCAAACTCCGTCTGAAATCAGTTCTTACATGGTCCAATTTAATGAACCCAAAATAAGTCCCGAACACCCCAAAACAAAGTCTAAAAGCAGTAAAAATCAGTCTAATATATTTCAATAAATATTTTCAAAACTCGTGTCTATGCTCAGTAACGTTAACATATTTTTAAAGAAAGTTTTATTTTCTTCACTATTTCCTTGTTTTTGGTTTTAGTTGCGTTAGTGCTCAATACTAGGGCTGGGTATCGTCACTGATTTCTAGAATCGATTCAATTCCGATTCACAAGGTCCCGAATCGATTTGATCCACGATTCGATTTAATTCGATTCGATTCGATTTAAATCTGGGAAATTTTGACAGTCAGAAATATTATAATTCAAATCAGTACATTTACATATTTTTGTATCAATAAAAAGGAAGCTGACACTCGCAAGACTTTATCAAAGGTGTGAGCATCACAGCAGATGCCTTTGTGTCAAAGTAGCTGAAGATAAAACACAGAAAAACATGAAGGTGATTTTCCTGGCCTGGGATTTTATAAAAATATTCTGCAGTACATCAAAAACGAAAGAAAACCATTAATCAACATATGAACATTACCTCTGAAGTTACAGCGGTTTTATTAGAGACACGGCTAAGCGTTTTGCATTTTGAATAATTTTAAAAAGTTTAAATTTGTTCAGTATTGAACAGCAGAAATGAGGTTTTCTTTTCGGAAGAATGTAAAAGGGAAAAAAACAGCGGCTGACAGCGCTGTAAACAACAGTAGACTTGTGCGTAACAAGCAAGCGAATAATGAAGAAAGGGAAACTGTTCTTGAAGTACAGAGAGAGAGGGGGGGGGAGGGAGAGAGAGAGAGAGAGCTGTGCATCGCGGTGGAAGCAAAACAGTAAAAGTCAGAGTGAATTCATGACGATTTTATGTGAATCGTTTGGATCTTCTTTTGCTGCTGGTTCGGTCAATATTGTTTGGAGAGAGATCAAACTAACAGCTTTAGAATCGGCGCAAAAAGGGCGTAAACACAAAGCGCGGACCCGCCGAAACATCAGGATCAGCGAGCTGTCGGCTTTCAGCCCCAACCGTGAGAAAGGCGACATCTAACTGATTATGATCCGCGGGTCGCACCGTGTGTTTAAGTCTATGTGCAGAATCCGTGTACCTGCTCTCATTTACTGTCTTAACTGTTTGGTGGTTCTTGAAATTTTGTGAGATGTCACCAAAGATTCTGGCATTTCAAGCAAAATAAATTTATATTAAAAAAATCGATTCAGGATTTAAATGAATCGATTTTACGTTATCCAAGCCAGAATCGATTTTAATCGATGAATCGATTATAAAAACCCACCCCTACTCAATACCCTTCTTTTTGCTGTCCTTTCACATTAAAAGCTTTAAGTTGGCTGACCAGATGAAACTCCGTTACTTTAAAACCTCTGCAGAACGTTTTGAATTTTTCAGTCTAATTAAAAATGCTGCAGCCAGAAGTCTTCAGACGGAACAGAGTCAAAGAAGTACTTTGGCTACTTTTGAGGGTCCGCTGTGGAGCTGCAGCTAATTACCCCCTGCCGACCTCTTTGTGTATTTAAAGCCTTGAAAACCATCAAACATGGTTTATTTGAGAAGAAACCTTTGCTGCTTTTGTTATGTTGTTATGTGGGGACCCACCCCGAAATCAGCCCGCAGACCAATTTTAGCTGCTGGTCCCTCTGCGGAGAGACTTCGAAGTGTGGGAGGCAGGAAGAGGAGGAGGTTTATTTTTTTTAATTTAATACGCCTGCAGAGAGGTCGATCAAAGGTCAGCTGATAAGAGGGGACCCCAGGGACTACATTAAAGCACAAAAAAGAAAAAAACTACAAGCAGAGCAAAGACAGCTGGGAAGAGAGTTGGTGGCGATGGGGAATCCCAGAGCAGATAACTTCACGCTAAAACATGAGAAAGTCTTCCACGGTGGTGACGTTCTCCTCAGTGTCGTGCTGCTAAATGCCCGGCGGCCTCCCGCTTTAATTACACTGCAGCGCTGCCAAAAGCAACACGACACGGCTTTTCGAGCAGGTCCACATACCACATTCAAACAACGGCTCCCCCTTATCTCTTATCGAATTACTTGGCACCACTGCCCGTCGAGGAAGCGGCGATTCAAGTCCAATTAAATAAAAAAAAAGGAGATAAAAAGCTTTTCTGAAATCGTTGCATAACCACAGAGAAATAAAAGCAGCCCAAGGGGGAAAGCTGTTTTGAAATTCCTCGGATCTAAAAATACGCCGGCTGCCTGGATTCCCATGGCGATTGATTGGGAGCGGAGTTGGTGGCTTGCGAGCGGCGAGGCGACCGCAGCGCCATGAAGCCACCGACCAGAACTATTCTGAGGCTGCAGGCTGGAGCCTCGCTGCTGCAGAGGGAAAAAAAGCTTCATCGCTGACTCAAAAACATGCAGGTTGCCCAGATTTACCTCTGTGGTGCGTTTAAGGACTGTCAGAAATGCCCAGATTTATTTCTATTTCTAAAGACTCTGACACTTTGCAGAGAGTGAAATCCTGCAGAAGCAGCACTGATAGTTTGAGAAAAAGTCCGACTGAGACTGTTTGTACAGCAGCACATGGGATCCATTACAACAGGGAGAGAGAGGGGAGCTATGGTTGGGAAATCACCCACAGCCACCAAACTAATGCTGCTGACTGTGGTTTGAGGAGCTGCCGCTCTCACAAGCAGCCAAACATCATTCACAGATTCTATTGTTCTTGTGGCTTTAACGGAAAAAGAAACGCTGGGAGGCATCAACAAAGTCTCCAGTCCAATCTTTCCAGAACAGTCATTAAGTTTTATTTTATTACTCTGTTATTATTTTTGTCAGGTTTACACAGACATGTGGAGAGGCAAGCTTTGGTTCAGTCTGCGATTTGTCAGAAAAGAAGATGACACCCCAAAAGTTTAGTTCATTATTATTTATTCTTCAGTGATCGTACCAGAAGGAGCAGGAGTACAGCTCTGAACATCCAGTCACGAAAAACAATCTGCGGCTACAAGAAGTCAACAGAGTCTCAGCATCAAGGAGTCATAGAAGACACACGTGTATTTAAAAACCTCAGATTTAATCCTGCCCATAAAAACTTTTCTCTTGCCACAAGGGGTCACCACAGTGGGTCGCTCTGCATGTTTAATTTGGCAGATTGTTATGCTGGGCAACTTTCCTGACGCAATCTCAAACGGGATTAGTGTCTCCGACTGGAATCTAAGCAGTGACAGGTGAGTATGGTGGCCACCACACAAGGCAAAGATTAAATCACCTCCCAAAATTTCCAAATCTGAACCTAAAAAATTTACAAGAAGTCCTAAACTTATTCCAAAATTGAATCCAAAACTTACTAAGTCCCGAATTAAGTTTAAGTCAAACCAAAACCCAGTTCAGAATCATCCAAACCCCTAAAGAGTTAAAAATCAGTCTTGAATCAAGTCCCAAGGTTAAACACCACAAAAGTAAGTCCAAAAACCAGATCACTAAATCAGAATCCCAAACTGAAAAATGTCCAAAATTTACAACAAAACGAAGTCAAAGTCAATTTAAAACAGTCCAAAATGATTCCAATCAAGTTCTTAAAGAGTCCAAAATCAAAGTCTTGAATAAAGTCCCGTAGTAACTGAAACAGCCCAAATCTAAATCTCCAGTAAGTCTAAAACAATTCAAAACCAGATGATTGTAAGTCACAAATCAAGTTCAAATGCTGCAAAGCCACCTCCCAGAAAATTTCAAATCCAAGTACAAGTTTTAAAGGGCCTCAAACTAATTTTAATAATAATTTCAACCCACAGTCCAAAATCAAAGTCTTAAATCAAGTTCCAAATAACTCAAACAGCACAAAACTAAGTCCCCAGTAAGTCTAAAACAGTTCAAACACAGACCCAAATCAGAGGACTAAAGTCCAAAATCTTCCAAACCATGTCCCTGAATAGTCCATAATCAAAATGTAGAATGAAGTCGGTTTTTAAATGAGTCTAAAAGCAGCTTAAAGTCAAGCCAGAAAAAGCTTTTTTTTTTTTTTTTAAAAACATAAATAAATAAAAATCTACTCACCAAAACCACAACTCAGAAAGTCAAACTTTCTAAATACAGTCGAGTTCAAACAACTGAAAACTAAGTAAACTGTAAATCTGAAACAGTCCAGATGCAAAACATTTAGGAAAAAACATAAAGAAAAAACTCTGAAATGGTCCCAAAACATAGTTGATAATGAAAACAGTCTAAGGTTGATTTCCTGCTGCCATTAGGTATCTTTAGTGTAATGCTGGGGCGGGGCAGCATGTTAAAGCTTTGTACTCCGCTGGCTCTTCCACATCATTACTCATACAGAGAAAACACGTTCAGCATGTTACAGAATGGTAAAGAAATCCAGGGCAGGGATAGCTCAGTAGGTAGAGTGGTTGCCCCATGATCGGAAGGTCGGGGGTTCGATTCCCCTTAACAGCTACCCTGAGGTACCCCTGAGCAAGGTACCGTCCCTACACACTGCTCCCCGGGCGCCCAATGGCTGCCCACTGCTTCACTGAGTGAATGGGTTAAATGCAGAGAGCAATTTCCCCACGGGGCTCAATAAAGTACAGTAAAGAAATCCAAACGTCTTCGTTCAGCTCCAAGTTTGCTGAAAGTGATTAATGTGACCTCAGCAATGTCTAATGACTCAGCGTCTTTGTATAAATCTGCAGTAACGAGGTGGTGACAGTGACATAAATGAACCCAAACTCATGAAGGAAAGCGGTCCATCCTTCCTCTCACCTCTGTCCTCCTCTTCCTCTCAGAGCTTTTCTCGTGTTTACGTGTTTGTTTATTCACTGACCTCCAGCTGACTGCAAATGAAACTGTGTACTGTTCTTTACTGCTCTTTCTACTTCTTCTTCTCTCTCGTGTCCTCTCTTTGAACCTCTCTCAAACACCTTCCTCGCTGTCTCCTGATTGGACTGTGCATGCATTAACTGTGGCTGTTGTTTTGCTTTTTGTTTCCTCTCTTTCTTCCTTCGGGGCTGATCTTGTACAATAGCTGACGTGGATGCAGGTAACTATCCTTCCTCTCTCCTTCACCTGTCCATCCCTCTATCCTTCGATCCATCGCCTCATTGGTTCAGACAGCAGCACGTTGAGATCAGCTCGGGTTCAGCACCGCGTCTCATCTCCGCGTCATCAAACAACCGCCAAACATCACGCTGCACGTCTCCAGGGATTTAACTGCTTCATCTTTCATTTTTGTTTTTTGTTTTTTTACATGTTTGTACAAATAATTTCATCAAGTCAGATTTGAAACATCTGGATTATTTAATGCTTCCAGCTGCTGAACCTGAAGCTGAACTCGATTGGCTGCTGCGACTGAATGTGTAGCTCCGCCCCCTCATTATCTAATCATATTTTTTCTCGTCTCCATCCTCATCATGTTCACCTGCTTCACTGATTTTCTTCCATCTTGATCAAAAAAGGTGAACGATCTTAGATTAATTTCAGATCACTAGTGAACCATTTTTCATGTTTAGTAATAAATCCGTGTTCACTTTCCTTTTTCTGCCTGTTTAAACTCCAAAGGATGAACTTATGACTTTTTATTTGTCTTTAAAGAATCAATAAGTGATTCTATTAACCGATTAAAGAGAAAATCGTAACACTGGAGACTTTAATTGCATGTGGGGATCAGTCAGCTGTGTTTATGATCCTGTTTCGTACGTTTGTTCCTATAATGGTGCAGAAGTAAGATGACTAGATGGCTGTATTGATCAGTGAAGACATTAGTTACATGTTAAAGGTATTAATCAGTTTATCAAGCTGGACTCATCGCAGAATGACCACAGACACACACACTGTAAATAAAAGATCGACATCCACTGTCATAAGTTGTGCTGATGCACTCCTCAGAAGCTTTGAGGGCTTTTATTGTGAAAGGCAGCCCCTCTCACAAAAATCAGCTCCTCTTGACGCAAATATTTAACGTCAGGGTAAAGAAAAGGGCAAGTGATGGAAACATGTCCACTTCCTGTGCTCGCCGCTCTCTAAACATCTACTGTGTTATTACTGCAGCTGCGCTAGCTCGGCCACGCCATCCCAAGATCAGCTGATCCAGCTGAGAGAGAGAGAGAGAGAGCCCGAAATAACACCGGTGACTTCCTGTAAATGCTGAGGAAGAGACGCTCGTTCCCACAGTGACTTGCCACACTGCTGTTTATATTTGTGTCAGAGTGGAGTTTCTTAAAGCAACAGCAAGCTCGGAGATGAACGGTCAGAGCACAACAAAATGCACGAGTTCACGGTAGAAAGAGGCAGAAGCTGTCGGATCATCAGTGCTCCTGATGAGATGTTCCAGGTCCTCAGTCATCTGCAGGCACCTGTTACAGCAGAACATCAGGTGGGAGCAGGAAGCTCCTCCTTCTGCCCCCCTGGATTTTTGACCCTGTTTGAAGCTGGTTTTTAGAGCAGTGTAAGGCACTGAGAGGCTTCCGTATTGCTTAAATGTGGTCACAGCCACAGACTGTACATAAAAGATGGCTTACCCCGTTTTGTGTTTTTCTCTCTCAGCTGCTGGTTATCTCCGTCATCCCCCCATATGTATTAGTTTACTTTCCTGTCCAATCACCTCCCTCCTGTGTAGCGTTCATCATCTCACACTCGATCAGCCGGATCAATCGATGATCGGCTCCACCTCCCTGTAGATCAGACCTCCTCCCACCGCTGGCATCGCTGTTAGTAACCTGTGTGTCTTTTCTGCAGGCGGGCGCTTTAAGAAGGAGATTGTAGTGGACGGTCAGAGTCACCTGCTGCTCATCAGAGATGAAGGAGGCCCCCCGGAAGCACAGGTGGGTACTGCACCTCCTTCTGACTGGACTGTGAGAACACTGTGAGCCCAGAGAGCCCGGCATTTTTGTTAGGCTGATATTTGTGAGAAACAATGATTTTATGCTTTAAATAAAGTTTGGATTTACAACCTTGTTTGTGTGTGTATGTGTGTGTGTGTGCAGTTTGCGTTATGGGTGGACGCAGTCATCTTTGTCTTCAGTCTGGAGGACGAGATCAGCTTTCAGACTGTTTATCACTACTTCAGCCGCCTCGCCAACTACAGGAACACCGCTGACCTGCCGCTGGTGCTTGTCGGCACACAAGGTACTACACACACACACACACACACACACACACACACACACACACTAGCCTCTGTATAGACACCAAATCTTTGTATTGTTTAAAACTCTACTTGAAGGGGTTTATTTTTAGTCCCTAGCAGGAAGCTCTCTCTTTCTCTCTGAACAGTCTGCTTTTCTAGAGCTTTGCTACCACCTAGTGGTGCACAATCCTAATTGCAGCTGTAAACTTGACTTCATTGCCTCTGATTAGCATTTTGTGGCTGGGGTTAATTTTAAGTTTATTCCTCCTTTTCTTTATTTGTATTTTATGCACTCATAAAAGTATTAGAAAAAATGTCTGCCCTGCAAACTGCCGTTATTCTACATAGATCCAGATATAGGAACCATAAAACTGAGAAGACACAGCAGGAAAACATCAGTAGATTTGTAGAGTGTTTAGGCTGAACGCTGGCCAATCCGCGCATCAAAGGACATGAATAATTCTTTGTCGTTACAGTTTTGTCTTTATTATCAGTCTGAACTGAAAGTTATTCCTCTGTTTGGACATTTTAAGGCAGCATTTTCATTTGTTTTACTCTTAATGGATCAGTTAATCCAATAAAGTAATGATCTGATTAATAAACAGTTGAGTCAAAGCTCACCATGGTAACTGATGCTGCTCCTGACCTGGTGATTTTATGTTTGGGTTTAAAATAATCTGGAAGCAGCACATTTTTATTTACAGCATGATTTTAATAAACTTGATAAGTTCTCTGCTGGAAGAATGTGTTTTAACTAGAGATGGCACGATACCGATTCCGATATCATAAATTTGGATATCTGCCGATACCGTTATGAATCCGATATAGCGCATTTTGTAATGAATAAAACTGTTTTTTTTTAAATAAATATCTTGCTGCATTTTGTATAAGTTTATACTCAAGTTTTAAAAAACAAGAGACTGAAGCTATTCTGTTATACCTGTATGCAAAAAATACACTGCACCCAAAACATTTTATAGTTCAGCAACACTGATCAATCTAATAAATTTAAACCTACACCATCCTCCCTATTCTGGCTTTTTATAGAGTACTTACCTACCTAGCTAATAGGGTTGCCAACTCCCAGCAAAAATATTAGGGAACCAACGTCCGCCCTTAATAATCACCTTTAATTTAATGCAAGTGTAAAACAAATGCACAGAAATCAATTATTTTTCTACAATAATTAAATAGATTCAACATCTTTCTTCAACAGAATTACAGACTACACAGATGGTGTCTTCCCAAAGGAAAAAGTACTATAGCTTACTAGGGTGTGTATTAGACTTATTAGTTACTATATGCAATAATGGATTTCTATACATTTAATCAGGTGACCACTTTTGTTGTAAGATTCAGATAATTATTTATTCAAAGTTTTTAAATGACATAACAAAGAAAAATATTTCTTTGTGCCCCCCTTTCCCTGTTAATGTCCTACCTGGCCCCTGGCAAAACTTTGCTAGAGCCGCCCCTGCACAGTTACCAGCTGTCAGCTGCATAGAAAAGGATCCTGGTGTTATTTGTCTCTCAGAAACAGTTCATAACTTCCCTTCAACTCATTCATGTCACCTAAAAGGTAAACCTGTTTCTCCATCACCTGTTCAGCTCTGATGATTCAGTAAGGACATCTCCTGGTTTCATCTTCATGTTTCCCTCTCACCACATATACAAACACATATCATGACCAGCAGCTTTTACAGCTGTGGCTCCAGCAAACATCAGCTGATACTAGAAAGTAGCATTAAATACATTCTAACAACAGCTCATCAAGCTTAAACGTGCTGCTGTTGTTTATCCGCTGGTCTCCTCTTTCTAGCGCAAAGTGGGCGATAAACAAACAAGAAAGACGGGACTTGCGACAGAAAAGCTGATCAGCTGATCACTGATCAGTTTCATGTTTGAAGTAATAACAGGAGAGGGAGGGGGAGTGAATGAGAGAAGTGGATGCAACTGCGCAGCAAAGACAGAATAACTCCAGCTTTGTGTCTACTTTTTAATTCTAACTGAAGTACGAGACAAATCGCTTCCCACTTGTTTTACTTCTCTGGGATAGTTTTCGCCGAGATGAAATGCCGCGGTTAGGAAGCATGTAGCGAGGCTCCAAATGCTCCAACAGACCACCAACAGGTCTCGCAGACAACAGCCGCTCTATCACGTGACACATACTGCTCCGATGCGCTGAGCTGGGTTATGCCAAGTAGCATGTTTTGTGAGGTGATTTTGTGATACTTTGGATCGGATTACATTTTTTATTTCTCTCCGATATCTGATCCAGTAATTTAGGTCAGTATCAGACCGATACGATACGTAATATCGGATCGGTCCATCTCTAGTTTTAACATGTCTGATTGGTGTAGGGGCACTCATAGGGATGATTTTCTGAGGAAGAGAGCCTGAAGCAGGTAGCAAAGAAAGATGAAAACCACCAGCATGATACCTGTTATCTCCTGCTGGGGTTTTAGGTTTTGTTGAGTCAGCCAAAAAACAATGAAAGCCTAGCTGTGTTGACGACTCTTGACTCTTGAAGCAGAGTCCTGCTGTGCTGTTACTGAGCTGAAATCTTGTATGTATGAATGTATTTACAGTCTCACTGAGTTTGTCCCTGTAAGCTGCAGGCGGAGAGAAACACCAGAGAGCACAAATATTCTCCACAAACGAGCAACAATAAAGACCCAGTGTTTGTGTAATCACTGAAATCATCTCAGGACGCCGCTTCCACATTCTGATATTCATTTCCAGCCGCAGTTAAAGTTACCTGTATAACATCTGCCTGCCTCTGTCATCCTTTTTTCCTGGTGTTCACCTGAAAAAACCAACATGAACCCATGTTGAGTTTAACAGCCAGCACATCTAAGAGTTGGTTCTACATTCTTTAGCAGATAGGTTAAATAAAACAGAGGCAGGTACAGTGATAACAGGAGCAATTACTTTGACACATGTGGTCCCTCAAACATTAAAACAGGAGGAAACGTCTTTAAACACAGGACAGGTTCTTCATGTCACCTCCAGTGACATCTGAGTCATTTTAAAGTAATTCTAGTGTTGTTCATGGAGGCGTTCATTCCTTAAAGTGAAATACTCTCGTATAAATAATTACAAATATTACTAATAGATGTTATTTGGCAGATTTTTGCATGAGCCGGTCCTCTCTAGAGCTGTTGTTACTACCTATTTTGTTGCACTTGGAAGTAGCTTAATCCAAACGTGCTTATTACTCTCATAACCAGCAGATGGCGCCAGAGTACTGCTGAAGTTTTCCTAGTTAAAGTCTGGGCTCTTGTTTCTTTTCACCTTCATGAGCCACAGCGCTGATGTGGAGGCGTTCCTTCTGATTCTACAGGCCAGAAATCTAATAAAATACATGACTGAGTCAGTCTTACGGCTTTTATTATATTTATGACACCTTATATACCTACATTAGGGTAAACGCCTGAATAAAAATAGATTGGTGCCTTTGAGTTTCTTTCTTTTACTGTAAAATGTGGATTTAAAGTTAGACTCAAGCTCTTTCTTTGTCATTTCCCTCTCAGACGCCATCAGCTCGACCAATCCGAGGGTGATCGACGATACCCGGGCCAGGAAGCTCTCCAACGACCTCAAACGATGCACCTACTATGAAACCTGCGCCACCTACGGCCTCAACGTGGAGCGAGTCTTCCAGGATGGTAAGCAGCCATCTGTCAGGGAAAAGTGTCCAACACGACCGGGAAACCAGAGTCCAGTCCTCTGGGAAGGTGACATTCCTCCCCGGCACACTCCCTCCTCCTCCTCCAACGTCCCGGCCGGAGCCATTCGAACGCTCTTAATCACACATCAATTAAGACTTAAATGGACCCGCTCAGCTATTTAGCTCAAACCGAACAGCAATTAAGTTTTATCATAGCGGGGGGAGGAAGGTGGGGGGCTACAAAAAGAGACAATTCCCCAACGGGATTAATAAAAGAATCAGACATTACAGCGGGAGGAAGGACAAAGAGGAGGAGCAGGAGAGTGTCCGGAGCCGTCAAGGTCCTGACTGACCCAGACACTGCATGCACATCTGCATTAAATGAGTGAATAAATATGTGATCTGATCTGTGTCTAAGTCACAGTGACACAAAGACACAGTGTGTTTAGGTACGTAACTGACAAACAGTTTAACAACCTTTACTGAACAAGAGCAACCTGTGATTTCTGAGGGTGGATTTCCCCTGTTCAAAGTCATTCTGTGGTGTAGTTACTGGGAAGAAGCCATAAAAAGTGACGTATCTTTAGTTAAGTCCCAATTAGAAGCCTCAAACCTCAATGTAACTGAGCTTTAGGTTTGTGAAGTATATCCCCTGATGTTTGGCGTCTTCCTTGGTTTGAAGCCCCCAGTTTACAGTGTTGCCTCGGCCATTCTTCACGTATTGGTTCATAGGTTCATTGCGTCTGAAGGCCCAAACTTAGGATGCCACCTCCACCATCTTAAGTCGTTTGGTGCTACATGTTTGGTTGAGTATTAGACTTTCTGGGCCCAAACTGTGATGCGAGTCCTGACCGTGATTTTCTTTGTGTTTGTGATTTTGTCTGAGGCAATTTCTTGGTGATTCATTGGATCTGAAAGCCCAAATTTGTGATGCTCCTTCATCCACATTTAATTTTTGTGTCCATGAATTCTTCCCGAGTTGATTTTTGCTGGATGTTTGATATGGTTTGGGACTTCCTTGGACTGAAGCCTTATGAACCCAGACGTGAAGCACGGCAGAGGTCACCTCTGCCGTGCTTCACGTCTGGGTTCATGAATTCACCTCAAGCCACTTGGCACGAGACTTCCTCGCTATGGAGGTCCAGACTTATGATCATCTCATTACTGAGTTTCAGTTCTGGGTTTGTGAAGTTGTCTTACATCATTTGATAATGGACGTTCCAGGCAGGAGCCAAGAGGGCTGTTTTTGAAAAACCACCTGCACCTGTGGTTTCAGCTTTTTGTCCTGCCTCCTGCACGCTCTCCACATGTAACACGTTCATTTCTATTTCCAGTGTGAGGATGCATCGAGACAGGATTTCTGGAAACCACCAGTTCATGTGTGAAAGTGTCTAAAGAGTCATAATTTATTTCTGCTGCACCAACAAAGATTTACCAAACTGTGAACTTGGCCCTACAACATGAGTATGCGTACCCAGTTATGTTTCACCACTGCTTGTGTTACGTCCCAGCAGCAGCAGTAGTAGAGTGGACCTTTACCAAACAGAAATCTTAGGCCTGCCTAAGACTGAGAAGTCTTTGGTTGATTGGACTGAATCACCCAGATGATCGTTTGTTTGGCTTTCTGACATCACCAATGAGTGATGAAGGCCTTTAGCTGCTACTCTTTTACCCATCCTGCTTTGTGCTGTGTGACTGCAGTGCTGAACCTCTTTCAGACATTCAACAGGAGCATTTTCAAATGTTTGATCGCTCTGAATGCAACAGTTTTAGGACAGAAAGACACAAATCTGTGAAGCTGAATCATCAACAGGAGCAAACAAAAAAGCGGCAGAAAGGTTTCAGGAGAAAAGTTTTTTTTCTCTCTCTCTTATTGCAAATGGTAAACCCTGCGGCTCATTTTTCACACTCTGAGAGCACATTAATAAGAAGAGAGGCAGCAGAGACGTTAATGAAGCGGCGGGCGGGCGACCGGTCGGCAGGCGCGGGGTTAACGGCTGTAATTAGAGAGAGAAATGGATGACACGGACTCAGCGGTTAATTAGCAGCGACTCTGACGGCCTCTGGCTTCTTTCGCGTCCACCTGAGTTTCACTTTGAGTGGGTCTGATCAGATTCTGCCGCTCAGGCTCGGTTTACAGGGTTACAGGTTTGCTCTCTGACTGATGACGACGAAGAGCTGGGAAATCTGTCGTCCGCTTTACGATTGTTTAATGATTCACAGCTTAACCAAAGCCTGAAGCAGACATTTAGCAATCAAAGTCACAGAAATAAAAATATGTCAAGGTGAGGTAGATAGACTGCATGTTAGTGCAGAAAACTTCATGTACTGAGATGGAGCCCAGATGTTAAACACTTCATTTTCAAACTCCTGATTCTGGATTTCAGAGACGTTCTCTTCAGTGTTGACCCGCCCACAGGTGACCAACCATGCTGTGATATGAGGCTGAATCCAGAGCTAACCTGACGATGGTTTGAGGTGGAATGAATGTGACGAAATAAGGCGTTTGATTGCTTTGTTTTGATCCTGGATGCAGATTTTAACAATAAAAGCCCTGCTAATGATTTAAGGCAGGGGTGGGCAATTCCAGGCCCCAAGGGCCAGTGTCCTGCAGGTTTTAGATCTCACCTTGGGTCAACACACCTGAATCACATGATTAGTTCGTTACCAGGCCTCTGGAGAACTGCAGGAGCTCATTTAGCCATTTAAATCAGCTGTGTTGGTTCAAGGATACATCTAAGGCCCTCGAGGCCTGGAGTTTCCCACCCCTGATTTAAGGGCATTTCATATGTAAATTTTAGCTTGTAGTCATCACATCAGGTGACATGATCACCTCTTAACCTGCTTGTTTCATATCTCCCGCAGATCTTTGGCTCATATATAAACTTTTCTGTACGGAAACAGAAGTTAAGCTGAAAAAGAGGCAGGTGATCCCCTCTGTGCAGCGTCGCCTCATTTCAGGGGAACTAAGAGTATTTCTTACATCTCTTAATTTCATGCTTTTGCATTTATTTTTAATAAACTCAAAACAGACAAAAATGTTGTAAAGGATATAAGAAAGTATCATCGGCTTCTTCTTCAAATCGGGTTGAAATAGTTTAACGCTCAGTGCAGTTCATCTATGGGGACTACTTTCTGTGGCGGATGAAGTCCCTGTAAAGTGTGTGTGTCTGTGTGTGATGAGACAGCATGTCCAGAGAAGGAACAGACACAAGTCTTCATCCATCATCTGTGGGCAGTCATTGCTGAGTGTGTCCTGCAGGGGGCAGTGCAGCAGCAGCAGCAGAGGCTCGCTGTGTCGAGCACAGGAAACAGTCGAATCCTCAGAGGAGCGAAACACTGCAGACTTTTAATTGTAAGAGAAGAAGAGCTGCAGTGTGTGTGTGTGTGTGTGTGTGTGTGTGTGCGGTCGGCCCAGGAGGAAGCTTTCCACACTAAACGCTGCCTTATTATCCTCTTAATTATTCCACTCTGTGTGTGTGTCTGTGTGTGTGTGCGTGTGTGAGACACTGTCTCCTTGTATTCTTCTCGTCATTATCCCAAATTAATCAGTTTTCTAATCACCCAGCAGAACGATGCAGCAGCCTGCAGCTCTGAGTACGTGCGTGTGTTTGTGTTAGTGGGTATTTATATTTTTACTGTGTGTGTGTGTGTGTGTTTGTGGGTTTAAATTTGAGTCCGCTTTGACTGCAGTGTGTCGGTCAGATGTGTGACAGATGGCTCAAGTGGGGTTGTCAGCTAAGAAGGTTGGTGGTTTGATTCCTGGCTGTTGAGCAAGATGCTGAACCCTGAGTAGCCCCGGTGTGTGTCAATGTGTGGATGTTATGTTAAACGTGTTTATGGGAAGAAAAAGGCGCTCATATAAATGTGTGTGTGTTTGTGTGTGTGTGTGAATGACGCTTGTAGTAGGAGTAGAAAAGCACAACATAAGTATAATTTACCATTTAGAGACAGAGAAGAAGACACACGAGCGTGAAACAGCAATGGGGACTTTATCATTACTATTATTTCTAACATTACTATTATTATTATTATTATTATTATTATTATCGTTGTTGTTATCATGGGTTTATATGGGGTAGGGGCACCTTTTGGCTTGTCTTTGGACACACCCCTGTCTATACGTTATGGTGTGTATGTAAATGTTTATCTTATTGTGTGAGCTACAATCGTGCTGCCGTCGAGCTGATTCCCAGTATCACCTGTTGGTTCACCTGTTTACAAAATAAAAGCCTGCACACAAACAGGAAGTTGGTGAACAAATAATGTCTGAAACCTACTTGCATTAAATTTGTATAGTTTTTTATTTTATTTGTTTATTTGTTTTATTTTATTTGTTGTTAACTTAAACCAGTTGAGACGTCATCTTATCACCAGGAAGTTTCATTTATACAAAAATAATACTTCAAAATTATTTACACATTATTTAAAAATCAATCACACAGGAAAAATACTTTACATTATATATTATATTAAAAACCTTAAATAAAAAAACCCTACGTAGCAGATTTTCTTAAATGCTGAAGGTTTTGAATGGACTTTGGTGGGAGATGTTTGTGCTCTACATACACTTTTCTTCACCGTATTCTTACTTTTGTGAAATATCTGTTATTGATTGATTGATTTAAAACAGCAGTGTAATAGCTGTTATTGGAGGCTGATCGATGCATTTATTTATTGATCGATTCTGCAAACTTTCTTCTTGTTCTCTGATTTAAATGACATTTTGCACGCATGTCGATGGAGGGGGAGGTCACACTTTATGATGGAGCTGATGTTTCTGAGCGTATCGATTGTGCTTTAGTGACCTTCGCTGCGCTTTCAGACGCCATCAATCGCGGCCGGTTGGCCCAGTGGTCGAGATGGGGGCGGGGCTTTAATTACCCAATGCTCATATTCGGCCTAGTAGTCAGCTGGGGCGTCATGGCGACAGGCAGAAGCTTGCAGTGCAGAAATGCTGATTGGCACTGATTTGACTTGATTTGTGTGTGTGTGTGT